ACTCTCCTCTCTTGCAGCAAAAAAAGAGGGAAAAAACAGAATGGAGATTTGGGAAGGAGAAGGCACAGGTACAGTAGGAAGAGAAGGAAAGAGAAATGGAACACAACTGAATGAACGTGGGGGGGACAGGATTTAAAAAAAAAAGCAAGAAACCTTGTTTGGGAATTACAATTTGTTAAGTGAAGTTAGCGCTTTTTGTAATGGTCATTTCCACCTCTACCTATTTACTTGTTTTCAACAGCGTCCTCTTTTCTTCTCCACAAATGTAAGTGAAACTCCATAATTCACAGATAATTTGAAGAAAAATCTTATTAGGTTTCTAAAAAAACTTGAGTCATTACCTGATCACAGAAAGATAAAAATAGGGTGCTTGGAGGACTACGACTTTTAAAACTTAGCCTGCATAAAAGATTTGACATGACCAAAGAAACAGAAAGATGGATGTGGTGGAGAGAGAAATAACCTAGAAGGTAAAGTAGGATTCTTACTTCTTGTAAACAATGATTAGCAAAGCATGTGTAAAGTGCCTCTTTGTTTCTTCAGGGGATGAAATGGGAAATTACATCAAGGTGGAGATTTCTCAGTGTGGAGAAGCTGAAACACAGGATACCTGCAGGATGGAGCCACAAGTCAGCTATGACCATGTGCCTGTAAAACGGGAGAAGCTGGAAGGAAGATGTGAGTCACGAGAGCCACAGGGAGGATCACCAGTTGGGACAGGAAATGAATGTATTGAGCTGGCAGAAGTTCATTGGAAGAGATACCAGAGAACTCCCATTCCAAATTCCCTTCCTAGGGAGGGCGGTCATGGGATCCCGGAAGCCCTCCCAAGCAATCCACCCCCACTGAAGAAGCCCCGCAACGGTCCAGAGCACAGCGTTGTGTGGGATCACTTTGAGCTGGATTCCGAGGACCCTTGCTACGGCATCTGCACACACTGCAAGAGACGGGTTAGCCGGGGCAAGAACTCAAAACATTTTTCAACGTCTGGGTTGCTGAAACATCTTCAGAGGCACCACGGCAACATTGTTCTAGCTGCTATCGCCACAACGCGAGCCATGTTGCCGACCAGCAGTAAGTCAAAGGCGCCTGTTGTGACGCAGAGCGCGTTGCCGCAATGCTGGACAAAGCAGAAGTCATCAGGTAAAAGGCAGCCTGGTCCAAAGCCGTCCGAGGTGACCCGTGCTATTGCCCAGATGATGGCTTTGGATGACCAGCCATTCAGCATGGTGGAAGATACAGGTTTCCAGCACCTCCTGAAGTTGCTCGCCCCCAACTATAAAATCCCATCTTGTACCCCCTTCAGCGGGCAGGTCGTGCCCTCCCTGTATCAGGCCTGCAGGGAGGAGGTCTTGGGGATGCTTCAAACCACAGGACCCCCTGCCAGTGTGAACGTAAGCTCAGACGAATAAGAACTGGCTTCTTCCTTCCTTTGATCTTCGGTTGCTCCTGTGAGCACACATAAGGGGGCAATGTTGGTAGGCAGCGGCATAACCCATTTTAATTCACTGATTAAATCAATCACATGCAGAGGAAACTTGAAGTAATAGACAAAAAAAGTCAGCAAAATGTAGGAAAACAATAAAAACACAATGAGAAATAAACCATACGCTATAGGAAAAAAAGGTTACGGTATAAGAAATGAGTCAGTTGCCGTGTCAGAAATGAAGGGTTTTAATATAAATTACATTACCTAATCAGTGGCGAACGCAGAAGCAGCATACAAAACCCAAACCACCTGCCCATCTCTGTTTAACTAAGTTAAGCATTCCAGTCAAACAGAAGAAACAAACAATATCTACCACGCCAACGGACAGTTCAAGATTCTTACATTCTGTTCAGTTGAGGGAAACGCTCCTGTATGTTTTAAAAAGGTTCCTTATGGCAGAGTTGAAAACCATAAAGAAAAGTTGAGAAAATTGGGAAAATAGTGAGGTTCCTAGTGGCCTCACTTCCAGGTACCTAACTTAACACCTAAGACGTCTCCAATTTCTCAGGCACCTTCTAGCACCCTCTGAAATACCTTGCTGGTAATTAACCAAAAACGACTGATCAAATTAAAAGAGATTCTATATTGATTACTAAAAAGTTAAATTATTTCTTTGATCTCCCTGCTCCTTAATTGTCTTCTCTCATTGAGATTTCCATACTGAGAACCAAGAACCAAAGGTCATAAATTTGGCCTTCACGTTTTGTCTTCTTAAAAGTAACAATCCATTCCCCTGTGTTTGGCTTTCAAGCCTTAACTAGAATGTAGGAAGGTATAAGAATTAAAATTGAAAATAAAAATGAAAATAATTCTGAAGTATAGTATTTTACTTAAAAATTAAGTAAAAAAATTAACTCATAACGCTGGTTGAATGGATTGGCTATAGCAAAGTAAATACTCATTTTTTAAAGTGTAAACAAATGTTTACAAACATTTTAAAACTGAAAGTTTATGTTTCTCATTAAAGGGAGGCTCTTTGTGACAAAGTGTTAACATTCAGAATAATTAAGTGAAGAATGTCAAAACCATACAACTTGTTTAAAGCTAAATATATTTAATCTAAAACCATTGGAAATCTTTTCCAAACTTTTTCTATTTGTCCTTTTTATTAAAAAAATATTCTTAGCATTTCTGCATTGTTTCATACACAAACCAGCTAATTCTCGCTTTTTCTTTTTAATTGCACCTTTTAATTGTTACTTATTTTAATCTATCTGTATCATATCCGTGATTTAAGCTTCAGGAAGCCCTTAATGAAACCTCTCTACATTTCAGTGGTTCAGCACGGATTCTCTTTAACTCTTCGTCTCTGAGATGGAAAAAGAGAAATTCATCATGAATCCTTAATGCAAGAGTTTGGTTCTGGCTATAGCAGGCTTTGTTCCTTTTATATTTTAAAAAGATTTTATTTAAATTTGTTTAGAGTTTTATAATATAAAATAGAACTGGTAGTTGTAACTGTTCGATTTCATTATTACAAATTTGCCAGCTTCTTCAGAAACAAAGCAAGTGTATGAAATATATAAATACATCCGTTTTTAGCAATACAAATAAGCATATACCCAAGTACATACACCTGCATATTAGAAGGAACAATAATTTAATGCTTTAAATTAAAATAGAAAAAAAGGACAATTTAACACACTATATTTTTATGAGACTGCAGCAAAAGTATAGAGAAAAAATTGGGCAGCTGTAATGGGTTGGGTTTGGTTGAGAACTGTCAATGAAACAATATCGCTAATAGGGCTTTTTTTCTTTGGTTTAAGAGGATTGGTGTAAATCGGTGTTTCTCAACCTTGGCAACTTTCAGATGTGTGGACATGCTGGCTGGGGAATTCTGGGAGTTGAAGTCCATGCATCTGAAAGTTGCCAAGATTGAGAAACACGGGTGTAAATGTTGTGTTGTAATAGCAAACAGCAGTTCCACAGTTGTTGCTCTGCACAGCAGTTTTATACTCTTCTTCAAAGAGCCATCCTCCATATTGCTCAGAAAGAGTTGTATTCAGAGCTGGTCCAGGAATGCTTCAAGCTGTCCTTCTGAAATTTTGCTTGGAAAGTTGGTGGATGATGTATTGATGAATCCCTATTTGTGTATATAATAAAGAAGTACTATGTACTGGAGTAACAGGCTGTTGGTTTCAGCCCTCAGTTTTGTCTGTTCATGCTGTGGGTGGGATTCTCCCAAATCAATTCCCACTGGTGAGATTCCCCATGGATTTCAAATGCTTTGCCATCTCCACACCTGGAAAATGGTGCCCAGTCCCCCTCCAAGTTATTAAGATAAGATACTGATTTCCTCAAAGAATGATAATAAGAATAATACTGACTTTTCTGGTCTGTTTTTCCTGAGATTAAAATCATTCCTTGGTCCCCAGAACATTGCTGTGTTCTGGGGCATGGTGGCTGTATAAGCAAGCATGAACCCTTTTTCTTACAGCCCTTCCGGAGGACGAAAGAAATATACAGTGAGAGAATTTATATGATGAAATGTCACCTCAACCACATTTCTTTCAAACTTCAAAGTGTACCGGTCTATATGCCTGTACAGAAGGAGGTTCCATGAGGACCAACAGGCCACTAAGGAATGTGGGGAAAATGCCAAATTCCTCCATTTCTTTGAATGGGAGGAGCTCCAGTTCTTCAGTCATTTCTCTTGCTCCTTCCCGGTTCTCTGAAGCCTTTTTTGAGGAAATGCCCTAGGCCATTTCTCCACTAGTGTAGAGAGTAAGGAAGAGGACCTTGGCAGAAATTTGCATGAACCCTTGGCTTGGCAAAGGGGGCTGAAGCATTTTTTAACTCCAAAGCAGGCAGATAATGTTTGGAAGCTGCTCAGGCAGACCCCCTCCCCAATTCACTGGAGGGTAAGAATAGGGAGGAGGTACAGCACAATCAGACTTCCGTGGTGGTGGTGGTGGTGGTGGTGGTGGTGGTGGTGATTAAATTTTAATCCTGCCTTTTTTATATATAACTCAAGGTGGCGAACATACCTAATACTGTTCTTATAGCCAGTCTCAATAAAAGTAGTGGTAGACCTGTGGAATTGATTTCCTGGTCTGGACCATCAAGAGAAAGTGACATTAGGGACTTCTAGTACCTTCATGGCATCGACTAGCCATAATTGAAGTGCTACAAAGCATCCTCGTTACTGTTTTAGCACAACATGGTTGGATAACTGTAGAACAGTGCTTCTCAACCTTGACAAGTTTAAGATGTGTGGACTTCAATTCCCAGAATTCCCCAGCCAGCCATGCTGGCTGAGGAATTCTGGGAGTTGAAGTCTGTACATCTTAAAAGTTGCCATGGTTGAGAAACACTGCTCTAGAAGATGCTATAAGTTGCCAGCAGAATACTCAATTTTTTCCTCTTTTCTTGTAAGTTATCAGTACTTCACCTAATAAGATGAATTTTTCCATATACCTGAAGTGTTTAGCTTCTGAAAAGTACTGTTTCTACCATATTGAGAATTGTAGGGATTTCCAAATCAGCCAGAGCATCAGGTCCAAATTAGGAAAATAACAAATATTTTAATTGAATACATTGCCATTCTGTGTGGTTTTATGCAGGTTATATTTTTTTTGCATCCTTTTGAAAATCTTTTAAAATATTACTGGAATAAGTTGATCTAAGGTATAACCACCCTTTTTTAAAAATATTTTTTTTTAATAATATTTTACCTGCCATTTTAGAACAGGAATTATCCCAGAGAATCTGTTTCTCATGAGAATAAGGATCAAATGTAATCTCTTCCCAATAATATCCAAATATAGCTTGCTATATCCTGGGACTATAACAAAATCCCAACTAAATTGAGAGCCCCTGCCAGAATGCCAAAGGAGTCAAATTATCACTATCTGTACAAGTTCTGGTTCATATTGAAAATAAAGTTAATATTCCTAAACTCCCAGAAGTTTGCTTGTTTACACACACGTGCACACACACTCATATTTTTTATGGGAAATCAGACCCCCAAGGTGTGTGTGTGTGAGAGAGAGAGAGAAAGGATAGGTTTTCCTCAAAATGGCCTAGGACCTTCTCAGTTTTTTTCAGAATCAATAGTGTAGAATATAGTAGTTCAAGGAGCAGCTATTTCAAAAGAATAGCTTGAGAAATTTTTGAAAGTTTTATTTAACCTTTCAAACATTTAAACGACTCACCTGTCCAAATCCAGACTATAAAGTCAAGTATAATAATCCAAAAATTACATATTCCTTGCCCCTATTACGCATTTACCCATGGAATAATAAATTGCAGGTATATTATGTTGTGGTTCTTTCAATCAAGAGACCAACAATTTATTTCCCTGTTTTTTTCCAGCAGTGTGATTTCTTTGATGGTTCATTAAACTTTTTTTTTTTTTTACAGTAGCATTTTCCTCGAGAACATTTTATTTCTCTCTAATACGAACTCTGTGGTGTCTTTATACTGTCCTCCCTGAAGCAGTTCCCACACTGAGAACATTTGCATGGTTTCTCTCCAGGATGAATTGTCATAGGTTTCTTCAAATGTTTTTGGGAAGCAAAGCATTTTCACAGTGATCTGTATGGTTCTTCTCCAAGGTGAGGTATCTGGTCCTTCTTCAGGATATATTTTTGACTGAAGTACTTCCCACGCTGTGAACACTTATATGAGTTTTCTCCAGGGTGAATTCTTTGATGATTCATCAAATTTCTTTTTTACTGAAGCATTTTCCACAAAGAGAACATCTATGATTTCTTGCCAGTATGAATTGTTTCATACCTCCCTATACCTCCCAGGAGACTAAAACATTTCCCATGCTGAGGACATTCATATGGTTTCTCTCCAGTATGAATCCTTTGATGAATCATCAAGGTACCTCTACAACTGAAACATCTCCCACACTCAGAATTTTTGTATCGTTTCCATCCCAAGTGAGTTATCTGGTGTTTCTTCATGACATTTCTGACTGTAACATTTTCCGTATCAGGAACGTTCAAATAGTTTCTCTCCAATATGCGTTCTTTGATGGTTCATCAAATTTCTTTTTTCACCATAGCACTTTCCAGAAAGAGAACATTTGTATGGTTTCTCTGTATTATGAATTGTCTGAGGTCTTATCAGATGTCCGGGACAGCTAAAGCACTTCCCACATGGAAAACTATTATGTGACTTCTCTCCAGTATGAGACCCATGATGGGCATTTAAAGTTGTCTTCAGCCTGAAGCATTTCCCACACCAATAATATTCATATGATTTCTGCCCAGTGTGAATTCTTTCATGGTTTATTAAACTTTATAGTAACATTTCTCACAAAGAGGACATTCATATGTTTTTTTCTCCAGTATGAATTCAACCACATATCTTCCCATTGTTCCATCTGCATATTATACCCAAAATTTTTAGCCCACTTTATCATACATTCTTTCACTTCTTGTTTTTCTGTTTCAAATGTCAATAGAGGTTTATACTTTTTAGCGATTACATGTTCATCATTTGTACATAATTCCATTTCAAACTCAATCTTACAATGTTCAAAGCCATAAACTCTTTTGTCTACTTTAAATCGTTCTAATAACTGTAAATAAGAAAACCATTGGCAACTACAGTCAGGTCCAGAAATATTGGGACATCGACACAATTCTAACATCTTTGGCTCTATATAGGTGTATGTGTGTAGGTGTATGTGTGTAGGTGTATGTGTGTAGGTGTATGTGTGTAGGTGTATGTGTGTAGGTGTATGTGTGTAGGTGTATGTGTGTAGGTGTATGTGTGTAGGTGTATGTGTGTAGGTGTATGTGTGTAGGTGTATGTGTGTAGGTGTATGTGTGTAGGTGTATGTGTGTAGGTGTATGTGTGTAGGTGTATGTGTGTAGGTGTATGTGTGTAGGTGTATGTGTGTAGGTGTATGTGTGTAGGTGTATGTGTGAAACTGTTGTAATTCCTACACCGTTCACCTGAGTTGGATGTACATACCCTCAAATTAAAGCTGACAGTCTGCAGTTAAAGCACATTGTGTTTGTTTCATTCCAAATCCATTGTGGTGGTGTATAGAGTCAAAGATGTTAGAATTGTGTCGATGACCCAATATTTCTGGACCTGACTGTATGTCCCTCTGCCATCAGTTCTTCTCTTGATTTTATTTTGTATTCCCCTTGACAAAATTCTAGTATCTCACGATAAGTTAGCCATTTGTGTTTGGCTATTATTTCTCATCTATGTGTTGAGAGCCACAAAGATGTGTTCAGACACAACCTGGATTTGTATCTATTCCATATTTTCAATATGGCACGTCTAACATGATTTTTAAAATCCACATTAACCTTAACTTTGTCATACCACAAATACCCATGCCACCCAAATCTCAGGTCGTGTCCTTCTAACTCTAGAAGCCTTCTATTCCTCAGCAGCATCCACTCTCATTTCCCTTGTTCATGCCTACAGATTCCCATCAAAGCGCTGTTTTCTTAGCCAGTTATCACTGCCGTTCTTGGATCTGTGGGACCTAGCTGAGTTGTACCTTCAAAACTGAACCAACACAAGACCAACTGGAATGATTAAGAGACTTTGTAGGGCCACAGTCTGCTGGTGACATCACCAAAGGAAGGTCTTTCCTCCATAGCAATTCATTGAATTACAGAATCAGAGGGTTAGAAGGGACCTTCTTGTCCAGCCCTCTTCCCATCTGATGGGGTTCCATGAGAGATTAGGGTAAAAACAAAAAATAGTTCACTCAAATGCGGCCGATATCCTATCATTACAGCTTGATCAGGAGTTCTGGGAGATCTGGAAACACAGTGAGATCACCTGTGTAGAGTCATGATGTTGCACGGAGGCTACTACAGCTGGGCTGCAGAATTCCAGAAGACCACCAGGGATCAATAAAAAGGTGCATTACTGCCCCCTATTGGTGACCAGGAGATTTGCAGGCAGGATCATGTTAACATTTAACGGTGATTAAAAGACAAGAAGGTTTGCAAAATTAATTATGAAATGCAGCAGGAATTGTCTAAGTCTGTCTAAACTGTTTTTCAATATGAGATGAAGGCAGGACAGGTGACCTTTTCAGGATCAAGTCAGACTGCACCTAAAATATGGTTGCTGATTCTGGAGCGATGCCAAGAGCATGTGGAGGGGTTTCTATGGGGGTCAAAAACATCAGTAAGGTGGCCATG